GTTAAACAGAACCGGTCTCAACACCGACACCTCACCAAGGAACGCTGCTCGTCACTGGTCTCCACTCAGACTTTCACTACAGTATCAAGCTAAGCGTCAAGTTTGATCTTCTGCCTTTTTGTATTTTGAGTAATAACTTGCTCCTGGCCATAAAGATCATTCATTGCCATTACCTTTAAGAATTATTTATTGTGTAAAATAAAAATGCCCTCTTTTTAATGTTAGTTTCAAATGAAAATTCCAACTTCACTGAATGCTCTTTACATTTTAATTATACCAGGGCAAGTAAGAATATCTATCCATTCTATAAATTTTTTTATACCCTTCGTTCTTATTCTGTGAACTTCTATCATGATGCTCTGGATTTTTTTTTTAAGCATTCCTGATTTTGTAACTGGTAACTCATTACATTATCGAGACTGTGTATTTCTCACTCCAACATATATTCCAAACACACACAAAACAGCTCTTAAACTCTGGTGGCTCTTTCAAGACTACTGTTTTGGTCTTAATGCAGTAAAATCGGTTACAGATTCAGAAGCAAAGCTTAGACCTATCCAAAAGAGATACAGGAAAAAAGCAAACAAAGCAAAAAACCCAAAAAGAACAGGCAAGACACTGCATATTGACATCCTTTGCATTCACAAGCAGGTCAAATGCACGCTGTGTACAGATTCACTCCAGATTTTTTGCTGCAGGACAAAGTTTTCCTGGCCAGTACTCGACTCTGGAAGAACTCCTTCTTCCACACAAACCACACTGCCACCATTTCTCTAAGAAGTCTGTAAAAATTAGGCGAGGGCAATTCAACCCCGTTGTGTTTACTGAGATTTTAAAGGAGACAGCGTTAAAGCTCTGATACAGTCAAAATGGACAACCACCACTACACTCCCCTTATCTGCTGAGTCCAGTCACTTCACTGTAAAAAGGGTATCAGTCAGGTCAGAGAAGACCTCCCCTTTGTACATCTTTGCTAACTACTCCCTGTCCACATTCTGGTCTTAGAATACGTGGAAACAGCTTCCAGGATTGGCTCAACCACCTTCGCAGGGATCAAGGTGAGGCTGACCAGTTTCCCAGATCTACCCTCTTGCCCTTCTTTAGAAGAGGAGTCATTTCTTCCATTCCTCAGGCAACTCCCCTGATCACCATGACCTTTCAGAGATGATTGAGAGTGGCCTCACAATGACATCAGCCAGCTCCCTCACTGCCCATGGGTGCATCACAACAGCTCCCGTGGATCTGTGTGTGCCTCCTCGGTACAAATGGTCCTTAGCCTTTTCCTCCTCTGCGAGAAGTAACTCCTTCTAACATTCCCAATAGTCTGAGGCCTGCAACTCCTGAAGGCAGACCTCTCCAGTAAAGACTGGAGTGAAAAAGTTACCGAGCAGCACAGTCCCTTCTGCGTCCTTTGTTACCCAGCGCCTGCCCTTACGCAGCTGTGGGGCCACCCCTCCTCCTTCTGCTGCTGATTTTTGCTGTCCTTCACATTCCTTGTCAAGACCAACTCCAGGTGAGCTCTGCCTGTCTTACCACCCCCCCTATACACTCACTCAGCACTAGAATATTTATCAGTATCTAAACAGGAATTTAGTTCTGCCTTACAGTCCCTGCTGGAGTTCTCTGAAGAGCTCCCGGGGAGCTGCCACAACATGCTTGGATTCCCAAAATTTCCTCAGCAAACACTTTTAAGAAAACAAGAGCTTATTAGGACAGAAGGTCTTGCATGAGTAAGTCACTGGTTAAACTGTAGGAAGAGAACAATAAAGGAACAGGTCTCTCAATGGAGAGATGCCACAAGTGGAGTTCTACAGGTATTTTTGTTGGCATCTGTGCTGTACAGCATACTTAACCTGGAAAAGAACAGTTCTTAATGATACCATCCTGAGAGAGTTCCTTCAGAAAATGGTTAACTGCGAAGAACTGCAGGACAAGCTTAAGACTTGACTGAGTAGCCAGTAACACAACAGACAAAATCACTTGGGGACATGCAATGCACTGAGGTGAAAAAAAATACCAACGTCTCAGTGGAGGTGCTATGTTCCAAGCTGACTGTGACCATTCAGATGACTTTAACAAATACAAGATAATTTCAAAAAATAAATATATGTAAACACAGCAGCCAAAAATAAAATTTAGTATTAGGAATGGCTAGAAAACTAATTGAGAATGAAAAAGAAAAGATGACTGTGCCATCGTTGTGTGTCTAAATGCCTGGTCTGCTCACAGCTTGATGACTCTGCCCAGCTCTGACTGAGAGAGAACGCTCTTCATCATCTTGAGAGAGACACACTTGAATAGAAAAGGCTGCATAAAACAATAATCACAGGCATTCACCTATTGTTTCACAGAGAACCTGTTCCCGGGTGGGAGGAGAAACAAAATTGGGGCTATAAGGGGCTTAAAAACTCACCAACAGCCTGATGAAAATGGATACTAATTGAAGAGCAGGACCAGATTCAAAACAACAGCAAGTGATTCTTCATAAAAACATGAGTACATTCTTTGTGAAAGATTTTTGGATACAAGCAATTCGCATAGGTTGGCAGGAACAAGTTCAGGGGAGAGAAACCCACTGAGAGTAACTAAACCAGAAACCACCTCTGACTCAGGAAGTGCTGCTAGGTGTAAACAACTGGAAGATGTGAAAGCTCGCTTGCTCTGTTCCCACTGTTCTCCTGCCATCTGCCCAGGATCCCTGTGGAAAGACTCGACACTGGTCTAGATGTACATTTGGCCTCAATCATGATGGCTGTTCTAAGGAAAAATGCTTTACCAAACCTGAAACTGAAAATAGTTAAAGCTTTACAGACACCACTAAACAGAAGTGAAGGAAACACTACACAACGAAGAATTTCTCCTAACCTCCACCACACAGCTGTATGCTGAAACTACTACTTCTCTTGTCTTTCACGGAAGATAAGGAACTTTCAGAATTTGGTGGGGTTTGCATCAAGGCCATCATTGTGTCACTAATCTTCAACGGCACAATCTGAAACTTAAATTGTCAGAACAAGGGTTTTTGAAAAGAACCCTCAATCCTCAAAGCAAAAGCTATTCGCTGGGCAGCGTACACACTGCATTTGCTAATTCTCCTCAAGCAGTTTCCACCTATTTGACAGAGCCACCACCTACAGATACTGTGGCTACTGCATTTAGACATGCTTTGACTGACCAGCCAGCATATGCACGCCGACTTGCTACCCAACTGCTGTCACTCCCAATAGTTAAGGTACCAAGTTACAACTTTCCTTCTCTCAAGGAGGGCATTAAATATAGTCCCTGCTCCTTTTCTACTATCCTCTATATTTCAAAATATTTGTGCAGAAACTTTGCCCCTTTGAAACTGCCACCTGTTCTAGATAGTGACATTAGTAAACAGGCTTAGATTAAGGGTTTGGCCAGAGAAATGACAGAATCAGACTTCTGCCCTCTCTTT